AAGAGTTGGGCCTGATGGCCGTTGCATGCTATGATTGCAAAATTTTTTTTTTTTTTTTGTTATGACGCCGAACTTAATTGCAATAATTCGTGATAGAGAGAAGAAGAATACATTACAAATGAAACTGGATGATTACCATATTACTTATCATTTCTTATTTGAATCATATTAATCATCGATGTTATTATTCATTATGACATAAACAAATATTAATATAGATCGCATGTCAACAATTCTTTTTTCAATTTGTTATCGATCTAATGTTTAAGTCCATTTGCCTAAAAAGTGATTAAAAAATTTTTAACTACGATTTGATTAATAATATTTTTTCTTCAATCTGATGATCACTATGGGATAATTATTACAATAATAATGTATGATAAAAGAAAATGCGTCATATTCTTTTTGATAAAATATCAATAAAATTTGATATTGTTAATATTGATTTTGTTTTTTTGCAATCATCTGATGATGATGATTAGGATGATTATGCTTAGGATCGATGAATTGAATAACAATGTTAGAATTTCCCTAAATCGGATACTCTCTTTTTTGCTTGTCAAGGTATTTATATTTTTGTAAATGGAACTATATCGATTTTCATCTTTTTATGATTTGAATATTTATTGTACTATCTTTACTTTTTTTCCTTCGTTGAACAAAAGCATATATGAACGATAAAAAAGACAAATAATGGATTGATATTCTATCCATTTATGTATATTTCAGAATAAGTGTTGATCGAATTTCTTCAACAAATCGAATCACAACAACGTCATTTTTGTTCGTTGAAAGATGTTTATATATAAAAAGTTTTGATATCAAAATCATTTTAATTCTTTATTCATTCATTCATTCATTCTACAATCAATTTGTTTGCAAAAACAATCAACATTTTTGTCTTTTTATTGTTAGTGTTTTTTTCATTATTATCATCACTATGAATGATCCTCCGGCCTTTCTTTGAACAATCGTTATTGTTTTTTTTGTGTCCATCTAAGATATTCTTATAGTTATCAACATAAAAATAGATTAATATATATTAACAAAATAGAAGATCAAAAGATCTAGTTAAATTAGATAGTTCATCATGCAATTGTTGAATTTAAGCTTACTATCGAAACGTAAACAAATGTATACATCTTCGATGACAATTAAATCACAAGCTTCATCATCATTATCACCATCGACATCTGTTTTGGAATTATCAACATCAGCACCAGCCAAAATGTCGGGTAGTATAATGGCAATTAATATGGCTGCTAATATGAATAACAATAGTAACAGCAGCAATAGCAACAGCAACAGTAATCGTTCATCAATGGTACATAGTCCTGTATCATTGAAAAGTCCAACAGTTACGAATCAAACGATGACGATGGCCCATCATCATTATAGTTTTGATTTTGTTTCATTATTGGATCTTGATGATGATTTTCATCGTACATTGAATCTAGTTAAGGTAAGGACATAGTTTTTTTAGTTCACCAATTGTTCATTTGATAAAACAATGTATATTTTGTTTTCGAAGATGGATTTTTTGTTTCTATATCATCACTGATGTAAGGTTTTTTTTTGTTGTTGTGGTCATAATAATGATAATGATTCTATTGTTTTTTGATCATTCGCACATCGAAACAAGCTTCCTTATGAAAATTTTTTTGTTTTGTTTTGTTTCATTATGTTTGTCTGCTTTTTGATTTTATTTTTGATCGTGTGGTCTAATGAAGGCCAACCATTATTATCATCGCTGATAAATATGAATGCATTTGATTCAGATGAAACATGAATACAAGTCACGAGATTTTTACATATCTTTCAAGCTTTGCTTTCATATCTCTAAACAAAGATATTGAATGATATACGATCGGGTTTATTTGAAAAAAATGATAATCATAATTTAACCAACAGTATTATGTTCGCCATCTTTTGGTCATGTTTCGTAACTAGATGATAAAATAAAAATTTCAAATTTTATGATTGAATTGAAATTTCCAATTTTCTAATTATCTTATCTCAGTTTAATGTAAAATTATGCCCAAATATATCGTCGTATCCGGTTGACAAAAACAAATCCTTGATCTTGAAATTGTCGTTTTTTTTTTGAATGAACAATAAACAGATTTTTTTTTTAAACAAATGCAATTTTTTCAGTTGTAAAAACTTCCTGCCTATCATTTCGATTGAAAAAAAATAACGAAAGAATCGAACTGAAATTTGGACGGATGTTTTTTTTCTGATCACAATTTTGACGTATGTCCATTTTACTCGATAAACTCAAAAAAAATGTAATTCAATTGCATTATTATCGATTTCAATTTGATTTCTTTTTTTGCGTCATTGTTTTGCTGAAACAAAAAAAATCATTCATCTTACACTCCTATCCTGTGGTTGTTTAGCCCCCATATTTATTGATAAAATAAATTATTCATGATATAATATGGTACTTGTGTGTAAAATTTAAATCATCATGATATTTAATTCAATTTATCGATGAGTTGAAAAAAACATCGATCACTTTTCATAGGTTCGAAATTCGATGATGGTGAAAATATATCGGCACAAAATTTTTTTAAAAATATTGAATGAGTTTATATCGACAATTTTCCACCCTGACAACAACAACAATCAAATAAATATTTCCTGTCTTTAACTCAATTTTGATAATTTCTATTCAAGTAGTGTGTTCATTTACCTCATCCATCATGGTATTGTGATGGCTTCTATTGACGATGATCGATATAAAAAAAACACGACGTGCAAGAGTTTTTTTCTCGCTTATAATTCACATAATTCTAAAGTTTGTTCTGTTTCCTTTCACTCTCATATTTCATTGATTCCGCTTGATTTTTTTTTTGAAAAATGATGATTTGATTGGCATGATCCAATATTTATTTGATGTCGATTTGATCCTCAGGTTATTGAATAGTTGTATAGTCATAATGGTTGCCTCCTTATCACTTAATTCTAATCAAATCGAATCCGATTATAATTATTCTTTATTTTGTTCAATATGATTATAAGATCAAAAAAATTTTGATCGATAATTTGAAATCGATTTTATTTTTCTCATTATTTTTTTCACACATTGCTTCCTTATTTGAAATGATTAATTAACCTCAATTTTTCTTTTCGTTTTTTCTTTAATTTATCTTCTCAAATTATGATGAAGGCTAAGCCATTATCAATATTTCAGTTTAGGTTTTTGATTAATAAACGAATCAATCATCTGGAAATTACTTATGATTAAAATCAATTATTTCTGATAGATGATATTGATCGATATAATAATAATAATTAGAAAATTAATTATTTTCACACCTTTCTTTTCAAATTTTCTTTCTGGTTATGATTTCATCAATCCATTTGATGTTTTTTTTTCGATAGAAATACGGGTACACTTCATTGAAATTTCAGTAAAGATCGCTCTAGGTGGCTCATATATAGAAAATTGAATTTAATCAAAACATGCATTAATTGGGCCAACAAGTTTTTTTTTCGATACATTTGATACATACATAGCCGATCTATTTTGTTCAAATCCTGGTTTGTTTGTTGACGGTCAATTTAGTCAACACTTTTTTCTTTCTTTTTTTTGGTTATAATTATGTCGGCTTGATTATGTATGAGATTACTGAAATGAAAGCCGATCTTTTTTTTGACGATTGATTTTTTAAAAAAGTTTCACACGATATTCACGCTAATTTGGTTTTCATTTTGTTTGAATAAAATATTTTCGTGTTTGTTTGTGTTGGTGTATTTGAAAATTCAAATGTATAATAATCCTGTGGTCAAATTCTAATTTTAAAAGAGACGGCATAGAGTTAAAGATGATTATCATAAACCATTCACCAAGATATCTCTTTCATCGTGATTATGATACACGAATTTCATTTATAACGGTACATTCATCATGATCATCGATGATTATGATGATAGATAATTGATAGACTGGATTGAATATATCTTATGAAGCAGAGGTGTGTCTTTTGAAGTTGATTTTTTTTTCTTTATCTATTTCTTTCACTATAACCGATCAAATTATTCTAGTTTGGTATAATCATGTCTAACGATTATGATGATTTGTGAATTTTGTTGTTGTTGAAACAATGATGACTCTTTTGTTTTATCACTGTAATCTCTATTTTACGATAAATACATCTATTGTCTTGTCTTGACCATATCAAAGTTTAACATACTTTCGCATAACCACCATACATACGGTTATTGAAAAAAAACATTGATGATGAAATAGTTTAATTAAGTCCTTAAAAGATTATTTATATATATTTTTAACATTCACTGATCGGAAATAAACCATCGTCATTAACCTTGATGTTTCAATATTAATAAACTAATGTTGATGATGATTATGATGATGAGTTGCAAAATTGAGTGCAAAATGATCAAGATGAAAATCATTTCCACATATTTTTAACAGTAAATAACAAATCTTTTTTAAATTTTTTATCGGCTTAGTTTGTCATCGCGTGAAACTTGGTTTTTGGCAGGGAAAATTTTTTATTTTTCGGAAATTTTTTTCATTTCAATGATTCTCTCTTTCTCTTGTCCGTCTACTACCTGTTTTTTATATTTTACCGAGAGATTTTTTTCAAAAAATGCATTTATTCATGACGTCTATTGGAATATACACTATTGCCTTTATGATTTTATAACCACTAACAATCGAAAAAAATGGGAAAAAAAATTTAAAATCTAAATTTAACTTAAAATCAAATCAAAATTGTGAGGTAACAAAAAAAAATTCAATGTAACTCTCCTCACCCCTTTTTTCTCCACTTCAGCAACAACAAACAAACAAACAAAAACAAAATGATTATGCCGATAATATTAACATTTCTAGTAATAAATTATGAATCCCGTAAAAAATTGATGATGGTCCATCTTTAAAATTACATTTTTTTTTTATTTTTTACAAATTTTTTGTTGTTTAAAATATAAATTTATCGACCACATCTAAAATGTTTCGTGTATTATTTTTGTTTTGCAATCGATATGAATTCTTTTGATGAGATTCATATTGATCATTATCTCTGTTATGGTTTAATGGTCATTATTGAAATTTTATTTCAAAATTCAATCACTTTAGATGAATATAAAAATAGTGATAAAATAATGTGTTTTAATGATGTTGTTGCTGTTGGTTATAAAACATTCAAAGAATTTTAAATCATCATCATCATAAATGATTGATGCAATTTTAAATTCTAAATTTAGACCCTCCAGATAAACTGGAAAATATAACGATCAAATAGATTTGTTTTGTCATTTATTTAGTTGACTTATTTTTTTCTGTTCTCGACATAATTTTCTTCCCAATTTTTTTATCGTTTTCATTTTCTCTCCACAATCATAATAATAATAATCAAAAATGAACAACAACAAAAAAAATCTGATGATGATTGCCATTGTCTTTTGGAATTTCATTCCTTATCATCATCAAGGTTTCCTCGTTGTTTTTTTTTTGTTGTTGAAGTCGGGCGTCATAATTGTTCGTTTTATTGTACAGGACAGATTGAATGGTTGCTTTTGTTATTCGGTCAATAATATTTTGGCTCTCTTCGTTCGGTTTTTAATTTCGTATTGATTGTAAAAAATTTAGAAAAACCAAACTAAAACAATTTCAAAACAAGACACTGGCAAACAAAAAATACTTGATCTCTCAATATTTCGAATCGGGAAATTCGTTTGTGAGAGAAAAGTTCCAGTTTACATCAACATAGTAAAAAAAGAGTAAAATGATATTAAAAACATTTCTTTGATGTTGCTTCTGCTCGTCTCTCTTTCTCTCTCTTTGGCATTTCTGGTTATTCAGAAATGTTTATGTTTATAAAAGAATTGAGAGTAACAAATGTTGTAAAAAAAATGTTATGATGATTATTGTAATATGAAAACAAAAACACATTACACATTCATATTCTGATCTTTGTCATAAAAGTTTGCATGTGTGTGTGTAAATGTCATTCGTATCTTGATACGAAGATTGCTTGAACTAGTGCTTATTTTCAATCGGATTGAATTTTATTTTTTGTTAATTTAAGAAATTCCGGTTTTAATTTTTCTTCTTATTGTCATTCGTTAAAATTATTATCATTGTTTTTCTACCAATGTTTTATGCTTATTTGTTTGTGTTTAACTAAAAAAAAATTTCAACATTCCAAAAGTATTGTTAATTTGCTTGCTACAAATCATATTGATGAACAATGAATAATCGTTTTGTTTTGTTTTTGTTTTGAAACCTTTCTGTTCGTTATCAATTTCTCATCATGTCTATTGTTGTGTTGATTTTGTTTGTTGGTGATCTAATTTGTTTCATAAGAAATCCAAGTCTAAGCCACTAAGTGTGTGTGTGTGTGTGTGTCTATGCATCACATCAATCTTAATAAATTTACATATGTTATGTTCTTTTGAGTTAATTTCATTCGAAATAGATATAAAAAGTCAACATTTTTTTCTGTTCCAGTTTGATTGAATTGCTTAGGATTATGATGGATAATTGACGGTCATCATAATTTATGTCCAACAACTACATATCGATTTGATGATCCACACATACTTAAACATCTTATTGTTATAAAAGTTATCAATCATTGTAATCATTTCGTGTTCATATCATACTGACAAACTTTGTTTATTTAAATTTGATTCGGCATTCAAATTTGATATTTGTTTGGCCTTTACAATGACCCATATTTGTATTTGTTCATTTCTTAGCCTCTGTAATTTTATCGGACATCATTATATGTATAATCCATAAAAATGAGATGATTTTATAGTAAAAGAAAAAAAAATCAAACTTTTAAATCAATTTCTCATAGGAACGATATTTATATTTTTCGGTGCAAAAGGATTTATGAATATATCGATTCATTTATTATCTTTATTTTTGGTCATATTTTTGCAAATTAATTTAAAAGTTTTTATTTTTATGATGAAATGGGAAAAAAAATTCTCGATAGCTTGCTACCTGGTCAGTTGGTCAACAGTTGCTTAGTTTTTTTTTGAAAAAGTTAAAATGTTTATTTTCTTTCTTTTTTTAATATCTAATCCTGTCGAAATTGATTGATTGACCCGGTGTTTGTTAAATAATCTATAGAAATCTATGAATTGAATCTGATTAAATGATACAAACATGTTTCTACATAACTCAACATGTCTAATTATAGACTTTTTTCACTCACGATTACACTTTATATCGATGAATGAACATTGAAGAAGTAATTTTTTTTGGTCTTTGATTTTTCTTCAAATTATTAACTGAAAGTTCCTCGAGGCTATAGGTTCTCCAATATTTGAATAAAGCAAGTATGTAATCGATTTTTTTGCTTTTTCATATTTTATCCAATAAAGATGGATTAGATTATTTTTTCTTCATTCATTTCATAATCTTCTGAATGAAATTAACAACTATAAATTGAATTTTTTTCTTCACTAAAAATTTCTCATGAGATAAGACTTTCATTGAATAGAAAATGGCAAATTATTATCTTTGTATTTTCTGTGGAAGGGTAATTGTTGAAAAAAATACCTAGACATAGTGCATTTCAAAGTTCAACGATTCAACAAAATCAATTTTCAAAAAAAAAATTCATATATTTGTGCTACCGGTCTTTTTTCCACCTTAAGTCCTTGTCTGATTAATAAAGAATTGAAAAAATATACAACAATAGGCTATTAAGCTAATTTTTTTCTACTTTTTTTTTGCAATGAATGAATGAATGAATTCAATTCAATTCAATTCAATTGCCAGATCTTTTCCCTGTCTCTTCATACTTTTGTTATGGTTGAATTATTATTCCATCATCATCCTCATTGATTGATGTGAATCCAAAAAAAAAATTGTTGTTGAAATTTTTTTTTTACAATTTTCATTGATTACATGTTTACAAAATATTTTTTCTCCCTGTCTTATTATTTTGAAAATGACGATTCTATCGATAATTCTTCCCGATAGAAATATCACATTTATTAGTTATTTACCTGTTGTTGTTCATTGTGATATTTTTATATTGCTGATTTTATTGTTACGAAAGTTGAAGTAAAAAAATTATTTACCATTTTTTTGTGATTGGTTCATTTTTGGCCAAAAAAAAAACAACATTGATGTTTGGAAGTTTCTAATTTTTTATTTTCATTTCCTTTCATTTCGTAAATTTTTCTTTCAAATTTGTTGTTTGCATTTTCTCTCATTGCCATTGTTATAATAGCTTATTAGGGCTTCAAATACGCATACCGGCGAAAAAAAAAATATAATTTCATTTCCATTTTTAGATTCCAATGTTTTTATTTCTATTTTCATACAAGGATTCATTTTATTTTACGAAATAATTGTTTGTTTTTTTTCTTGAAAATGTAAAAACAAACTAATTTACATTGCCTATAATCCATGTCTATTGAATATCAAACAATCATTCCTTATTTAGTGATACGATTCTTTTTTTTTGTTGGTTTTGTTTTGTTTCTAATTAGTTTCATATTTTGAATTCAATTCTGATGTTTTCTATGTAAATCGATTATGATTAATACTGATGATAACATGATCATCGTGTTTATATTAATGAAATGATTTTGTTTTTGTTTTTGTTGTTCATTTCAAGTAGCCTCCTTTCACGCCCCCACATATACAAACTAAATGGCACAGATTTTTGTTGTTGTTGTTTTTCTTTACATTGAATAATTTTCATCCTAAAATTTGTAGCATCATCATCATCATCATTTTATATCTTCGACATAAGATAATGATTATGACATTGCTTTTGGCTATATGACTTATAACAATATATATTAAAATAAAATAAACCTCAACAATGAATTTTGGGTTAATATGCATTTTGGCTGTCTGTTACACACATTATGTTATGCATAATGTATAGTGGATAATAATGATGTAAACATCATTATATGAGCAATTTAACGACTATCATGATGATGGTGATGATGATATGAACTAGTTTCATCAACTATATCCATTTTTTCATTGAATTTATTTTATATGTATTTCCCGAATCAAATGTCTCTAGTATGATGATGCATCACATAGTAATGATATTACGTTGTACTAAGATGAGTCAAAAATTTTCATTTAAATAAACTCGAACAACAACAAATAGGTTATTGCCTATTATACAATGCCTACATGTGATATAAACATTCATTGAAAAATTTCCTTATCATATTCAAGTTATAAAATAAGGGAAAAAGAAATATTTTCTCGTATGGCACCTAAATTTTAGATTTTTTCTTTTTTCGATTCATCGTGTTGATCATCATCATCATTATTAAAGACAAACAAGATTTTCGTTTGTCTTTTATGATTTGTTTTTGTTTTACTAAAAATTGTGGGCGCATTTCAATGATGATGATGTGTACCACATACTGGTGACAATTTACCTATTTTTAAAAAAAGCGAACAAGGCATCGGCTTTCATTGTGGTCTAAATTTTCTCGATTTTATTTCGTTCATACTTGGCCATAAATTAAAATTGAATTTTTATTATCCTAAAAAACTTTAGAACAATAATATTTATGAGGAAACAAACATTTATGATTGATTTTTTTTACTCTAAATATTTTCTCTGTTTCCGTTACTTCAGCAGCATCCTTTTTTGGTTGTTGACATTAAAATCTGCTTAATTTTTCAAACACAATTAATTAAATGTAGCTAAATTTCATGATTTTTTGAGATTGACAAAATTTTTATTTTTGGAAATATACCTTCAAATAGAATGCTATACATTCAATGTTAAATTATTGAATCATGACAAAATCGAAATACATGAGCACATAAACTAATTATAGTAATTAATCGACAAAAATTATCGATTTTGATAAATTTCCTTTTATGTGTTTATGGATCCTTGTTATAACGTTTCCGTAATAGCTATTAGCAAAAAAAAATGTTGACTTTTCTGCCTTGTATTTAGTTCCGCCTTTGACATGGATTTATACAGCTAGAGAAAGGGAGGTCATTGAATAGAGCTTTTAAAAAATGAAGAGAAATTGACAATTATTTTAGAGATTGTTAAAATGATCAAAACGAGAAAGAGAAATTTGTGGTTATGTTTTTCAAATTAAATCCAGTATTTTCCTTCCTTTTGTTGTCGAAATTATCATCCTTGTTTATCGTTTTGACTGACCAGATTTGATTGATGCTTACACACGCACACGTTCATTCATTTAATAAGCAACAAACAAAGTGTCTTAGACTTGGATAAATTTTTTCATTTATTTACAATTGAAATTTTTCCCAAATTTTCATTTTCCATGCTGCTCATATCTTCATCATCGTTTGGTTATTTAGGATGATGAAAAGTTTTTTTCACACGTTCCATTTGGCAAGATATCTTTAATAAAAAGTCAACCCGTTTGTTTTTGAAAAAGCCGGTTAACAAAAACCGATTGTCATCACTATTCAAAGTGTTTTTCTGTGTATGATTTTGTTTTTTAAGTTCAGGGTTTTCAAAAAAAAAATCGGCAGAATTTTTCGTTCAAGAAAGTTTGAAAAACATTTTTCTTGTTTAGTTTTTGGCGAAGTTTCAGAAAAATAATCTTTGTCATCGACCTAAAAAAAGAAATCTTCCCCAATCATCATCATCATCATCATCATCCAAATCAACATTTAGTTTTCGAAAAACAATTAAATACAACAACATCATCATCAGTATACTTTAATCGTTGACCAAAAATAATCAAAAATAAAGCTATTTAAGCTAAAAATATACAAATATAATGTTGTCCACTACAGCATCATCACCGTATCATCATCATTACTATTTTGATGATCCATCATTACAGACAAATGTTCATTATCCACCGTCAATGATCACTCATCTTCATTATGGAGAGGAACATGAAACATTTGAGCCATTCGTTTGTGATTTTCATGTGTGTTTCCATAGTTTTTTTTTGTTTCAGATCATTCGATATTATTGATAAATTAGATTGAATTTGAAATTAAATAAAATAAATTTTCTAACTTTTTTTTCGTTTTTTCTTTACAGGATCAATACGATAATATTGCATCTCATACAAATAAGTCAATAGATTTGTTGGATAAATATGGACAATTTTCGCGGGATTTGGCCGCCATCGAAATCGATTATGCAGCCAAACTACGGCGACTGTCCAAAAATTATCAAATCAAGAGAAAAGATGAAGAAGATAATATGTAAGCAATTTATTCTATCAATCATATTTTAATAATTTCATTTTAACATACATAGGTGTACGGTGATAAAAGCATTCAATAAATCATTAAAAGAAATAACCGATATTGCTGGCCAACATGAAATCATTGCTGAAGAGCTTTCTTTGAATATTGTGAAAGAAATTGGTACCGTTTTAAAAGAGCTCAAAGATGAACGTAAACGATACCTGCAAGAAGGTACAAAACTACAAAATTCATTGCAACAGACTATTTCGATGTTGGAAAAATCAAAACGCAGTTACGAAAAAGCATTTCGCGAATCGGAAAAAGCGCATGAAAATTATCTGAAAGCTGATGCCGATCTTAATCTTTCACGTGCCGAAGTGGAAAAAGCACGATTAATTTCATTATCTAAATCATCAATGTGTGATGATGCAAAATCTGATTATGCGACACATTTACAAAGGACCAATGATCTACAGCGGCAACATTACTCAGAACTTATGCCTCGTGTTTTCCATCAGCTTCAGGACATGGAAGAACGCCGATCACAATGTATACGCAACTATATCTTTCAGTGTGCTCAAATTCGACAAAAAGTGATGCCCATCATAGAAAAGTGTATCGATGGCATTGTCGAAGCATCAGAGTTAATCAATCCAAAAGAAGATTCTAGGCTAGTGATAGAGAAATATAAATCCGGTGTCGATCCACCGGGTGATTTTCCTTTCGAAGATCTTTCGAATCCACGTTGTATTGATGATTCAATTAGCAATGGTGATAGCTCAGATGGTGCCAGTGTTCATAGTTCAAATGGTAGTAACGGCCATAATGGTTTAAGTCATCATAAATCTACATCTGGTTCGACATCCTTACACTATTCAAAATCTGTATGTACGGATACGTTTCGTGGAACACTTTCAGCAGCCAAATTTCGTAAACGTGGTGGTATATTTGGTATATTCAGTTCAAATAAAGTAAGTTTATATCTGTTTCTTCCAACTCATTTATATTTCCTCATCTTGTTTTGCCTTGTTTGCATTTTATACGAATTTTTATTTTCATTTATTTTCTTATTCTTTGTCTGCTACTGCTTTTTAATTTTTTAAACCCTATTTTTTCTTTATATTTCTGTAAGTAAATTTTTTGACTTGTTAGAAAAAAATGTGAATTTTCAACTAATGCCAATATTTTATTCTTAACTTTCATTCTTAACAGTCTGGTCATGATGATTCAAAGGATGATTTCTCTGATTTGCCACCGAATCAACGCCGTAAACGTATTCAATCAAAAATTGATCTCATACAATCGAATATTCAACAGGAAAATGGTGTCAGGTAATTAGCATCTTTAGAAACTCGATTGGTGGCATTTAATGAATTATCAACTCTCCTTTTATAAAATAGAGAGGCATTGTTGAAAATGCGTCAAGTATATCAGGATAACCCGAAACTTGGTGATCCGCAAGTAGTTAACGCACAATTGACTGAATGCATGCAAAAATTGGAAAAACTTGATGTTGATCTGAAAAAATATCAGACGATGTTGTCTGGCGTATTGGGGTCAAACACTACTCCCGGTTTACAGAATAGATCATCTACAACACTAAATTCTACTAATGTCTCAACAGCAACATTGAATGGTGGTAATAATTCTACCCCAAATGGACAAACGACAAGCAATCATCGTAATAGCATTTCTGATAATTCTAATGATTCTGTTTCGCGATCTGAATCGGAAACATCATTGCATAATCATTCTAATGGTTCGAATGGATCACCATATGGAAGTAGTGGTGGGGGTAGTAGTGTTCACACTGGTTTGATGCAAGCGGCCAATTCATTGTTTAATAAATATTCAATGAATCCTTCTGCTACAACGCCAACAAGTCCATTTGTTAAAACTAATGGAAATTCGAATGCGCCTACCACCAACGGTGGATCATTTAATGGAAATTTCTTCAATGGAAAAGCGAAATCCGATCAAGATATGTAAGTCTATATAAAAATTTCATTTCAATCGATTTATTTTCAATCCCGAATTTCAATTAATTCAGTTCGCTAAATGAATCCAGTCATGATGATCAAACGACAGCACCAAATGCTGATGAAGAAGATTTTGAGGAAACATTAATCGTGCTAGGCACAGCTAAAGCTTTATATGCCTTCGAAGGTTTGTCTATTCATAAGTTCCGAATATTTGAACTTAGTTGTTTATTTAATTCATTTAGGTCAAGATGAAGGTTCAATTAATATGGATGAAGGTGAAGAATTTGATCTGATTGAATTAGATCAAGGTGATGGTTGGACTCGTGTGCGTCGGCTACGTGAGGTTTTTGAAGAAGGTTTTGTTCCCACCACTTATATAGAATGCAATCTCTATGACAATAATCTGACCAACAACGGTCATATGGCGATTGCAGCCAATAATGCTACTGCAACAACAACAACAACCGCATAACAAATATCAATAAAAACAATCATTGGAATAATCGTGATATACTCAGCTTCATCGTCAACATTTATTGACAATGGCAATCAATGATGAATCCTGAATGCTTCTCTCATTTACATTTAAACATTGATTTCAAATCAATCTTGTGACATCACTAATGAACAAAATCAAATAACTGATTGAATCAAAGCATTTTGACATACACACAAAACACAAAAAGATATTCATATATCTTGATTTCACGTATTGTCTCTTCATCTGATTAACCTCTTAAAATTGTCTCAAACTAATCGATCTGAATTACTCGAATACAACGGAATTATTATTTTCTTTTTTTCTAATTGTTATCAATTATTTTATGAATTCAATGTATTTTTTGAATATATTTTTTTGGCATGTTTTTGTTAGAAATTATTTTTTTTGACAATTCTCATGTATTTTGGCCATCATCAATATTTTCCTCTTTCTGTTTATTATTTTTTTTTGTTGAATCAAATTGTATGAAAAAAATAACAACAGTTTATGATTTAAATTTACGAACGCTCAATTGTCAACTGTAATGATAAATAACTGCAATTATTATTTTTGTTTTTTTGTGGCCTTTTTTGAAATGTAGGCGTTTTTATCGGTTTGTTCTGTTTTATTTGTCCAAAATGATCAAAGTAATTCAATCGATAATCAATACTGTAACTAAATGACAAGATCGATAACAGAAATGAATTTTTTAGACAAACATGAATGTAAAATATGGATAAAATGCAAAAAATATAAATATTTTCTTAATCTTGTAATCTTTGAAACAACAATGAAAATTTGGAATAAGATTATTATTTTCTTATTAATTATATATCATATGACGATGATGATGATTAGATCATTTTTTGACCTTGTAAACGTATCCAATTGAATTTAGATTCAACTTGATTTTCTGTGACTTTTTTTCATAAATGAGAACCATCCAGAAATATTTTTGTTATTATGTGTAGACTTTTGATCCAATGGATTGAATCATTTTCATTTACACACATACACCGACACACATAGATGAATTATATTTTGTGAATTTTTTCCTTTTCCAAATAAATAAATTTATGAATCATATTCTGAGAAATAGATTCACCAATGTGAAATAGAAGCGGAATCGTTTTTTGAAAAATTTCATTTCATATAGAAATTCGAGCCTCAGCTTACATAACAACTCATGAATAAAAATAAATTGAGCTGAAATCATGATGTGTTCCTTCAAGCGATATTTAAAATTATCACGTAAACTTGACCATTTGGTTTTTAATATTAGCCATCTGAAATCTATCATGTCAATTCGGACCATTGTTTTCCTTTTCTTCTTCGCTCTCCTTTTTTTTGGTTTGGCTGTTTACATCATTATTCAAAAATTACATTGCTCTAGTTTTTCATGAAATGTGATAACGAAAAAAAGTTTGATGTATTTGATGGATATAAAATTGTATACATGCGTTCAATGTATGCAATTTTAACAAAATTTATATCAATCAATTGTTTGATTTTGGTCAAAATAAAATTATTTGTCGAGAGTAAATGTTCGGTAAAAAAATTAGATTGGTCATACTCTCACATAATATGATTGAATGACAATATGATACATATGGAAATTCGAATCTCAAATAAAGAAATTTTGAAGCATATGAACTTTGAAATTTGAATCACCATTTACAGATGTTTTTTTTTCTTTGATGCTTATCAATGATCGATCATTTGAATGATATTCAGGATCACATTTTGTTTGCCAGGCCTGTTTTGTCTATATGGTATTGATCATTTGTTTCTAAGATGATCATTTTCGAATTCGATTCATTTGTTTGTTTGTTTGTTTGTAAATTGAGAGATGGAAATGGATAATTAAGGCCAAAATTATTATATTTTCCGACATAAGTATCCTGTTTTTTAAAAGGAAAAAATGTCTAAAAGTTCTTTAATGATTGTGATAATGATCATTATCATCATCTTTGGCAATGAACAACCTTATTTGAATTTATAAACTACTCTTTTTTCATACAAAAAATACATCTGAATTGTCCAAATGTTGGCCAATTGTAAATTTATAATTTTTTTTTCATTTAAATTGTTTTGCTTCAAACAATAATGTTCATCAACTTATTGATTTAATGAAATCATGAAGCAATTTAATCATCACGAAGGATGGACACTCCCTCACAAATGAATGATTGCGTAGTGGATGATGATCATGATGATAATGGCGGCCGGCAAAGCTAATAAAACTATTAATTTGTTTTTGGTTTTTTTTATGAATTTAACATTGTAGACATGTAGATGGATGTGTGCGTAAATGAATTTTTATTTTTATTTCAAAGAGAAATGTCCGATATTTGATCACTTGCCCAAAGGTTTGATGATGTTTATAAAATCGTCACTATGTGTTAGAAATATAGATTATCCTTCCGGATGATATATGTGTTGTTTGTATCAACTTCCGAATTTGATTTGTTAATCACTTGTTATTGCTTCGTTTTTTGTTTGTTTGTTTTTAAGATTAAATTTTCATTTTTAATATTACGATTTCTGAGTATCGAATAGATAATGATTTAAAATATGTCACCATTTTATTATGGAGATTGTTGCCATCATCATCTGAAAATCAGCTACTCTATAATATTTTTTCACTTTTTTCTATTTGACCAGAAAATTAATGATCACCATCATCAAGTGGACAACAAAATAAAGGTAGCAACAAGTTTTTGCTGGAACACTAATATATTATGACAAACTAAGTGTTTAAATGAATCTTGTGTGAAAAGGATTTTCAATTTTTTCTTTAATTTTAACTTTCTATTCTATGTATTAGATGACAAAATTTGAGATAATGATGAGAAACGAGTTTCCCTTGTTATATCCTTAGGTTATTGGATTCTATTTTTATTGTCAAAATTAAAAATCTTGATTCTTTTCATCCCTGCTAGATGACACTTTTTTCCTACACTTACTCGCAATATTCAAAAGCGTTCAATAATTCTTTGCCATTTTCATTCGTGAAAAATGAGATTATAATCTTTTATTGACTCAAATGAGCCTCAATTTGAAATTCTAATATATTTATGTCTTATAAATAGATCAAGGCTATAAGAGAACTATAAAATTATTTGATCGATTTATCAGCATCCAATTTTTGTAGCTAATAATACAAGCACAAGCATTCTGTGTATTTCAATTTAAATTTTCACAATATTTTTGTAACATTTATTGTTTCCATGGCCATAATGAATCTATTCAAGAATTTGGTGACGACTGTAGTTTCGTCATCAATGTTTGCAAGATTAACAATTATTATTGAGAATTTTAGGTACTAGACACGTAATTTTTCGTTGATTCTCTTTCCGGATTCTAATTTCACCTTGCCAACTTTTTATCTATTCACCTCTTTAATGCGTAAGCACTTCTATATGTTTTTAATGTTGATTAAGATGATCAAAGAAACAAGAATATGGCAACTGTTCTTTTGGTTTCTGGTTTCATTATTTTGCGCATTGTGAATTTGAATAAATTTTGATTATTCATTGTTATCATTATCTTGGAACAAAATCTAGGCTAATCTATGATTTAAAGCAAAGCATTCAATAAATGATGTTTACCTCTGTTCTCATATTTCTTCTGTAATTTGACATTACTGCAGTTAAACCCAAGTAAAAAATGAGGAAGAATTATTTAAGTGAAAAAAAATCTAGAACAGCCATAAAAAAACCATATTTACACGGTTGATCGACCCTTCCAAAAACAATCATCAACATTTATTTTTGTTTCAATGAATTTACCAGTTTTTTCCACGATTATCATTAATATTCAATGTGACCTTGTTTTTCTATTGTTTAATCTTTATGGAACAAATTTTCTATCTCAATTCTATTGTCTTTTGCTGATTTTATCTTTTTAAGCAATTACAATACGGTACAATTAATTGTTCGGCCATAGCCATCCACAAGATATATTTTGTTAGCCTGTAGAAAAATTAGTCTACCGGTCCTTAATATACATGGTTGGTAAAAAAAATTATCGATTGTGTTTGGTTGAATGAATTTTTTCAGTCACCTGTTTCGCTCTCATTCATTCGGTAAATAATTTGTACGAAAAAAATACAACCATCTTATGAGTGGATGTTGATTTCATGTTCCTTTACTTAGTTGATTTTTCTTTTCTTTTTTTTGTCGATCCATTTGATTTGATTTGATCTAACTAAATTCAGCCTAAATTGAATTATGGCTGTTGAATAACAAAAACTGGTTCTCATCATCATCATCATCATCACCATCATGTCATGTCATTTCGTGTCGTCAGGTTTTATTCAATCATTTCATTTATCCTTGACAGAGTTTTCTTTTTTTTCTATTTCATTCTCTTTTTTTGAAAAAACCAGCACTAAAAAGCATTTTATGGCGCCATTCAAGCCAAAAACCATATCATCGATCTTTACCTGTCCGTGCCATCATCATCATTATTTTAGTGTCACAAATATATCCAGATGTTTTGTTTTTCGTTTCATACTGTCAACTATTACCATATTAAAATCTCCGACATATATTAATGACGTTTATGACAAGTTTTCATTTGAACTAGTTTTCTTTCTCTTTATTTCAATTTGGTTTCTGGTTTGTCTTTCTCTTGTTCCAGGTTTCTCTTCCTCCCTCTCTCTCTCTTTCATTTGTTCAGTGTTATTTACAAAATAGTAAGCAATATAGAAGGTGTTCATGGTTCGACCTAATATTGCAAAGTTCTAGGGATTATTTTGGCCTTCCTATTCGATCCATAATGTGTCTATGGTAATTTTTCCAGTTTTTTGTTTTAAAAATGCGCAAAATCAAAGATGATCTACAAAATCTGAATTTTTGGCCCCATATCTTACAATTATAAAGCTATATATACAACAAAAGCTGGATACACAAGGGGGTACAACAGAAAAAAAATTCGAAACCTAACAAAATCCAAAAGATTGAAGATACATCGATATGAATGAATGAATGACGCCCCATTGTAAATTGAAACTAAAT